TGTTGGGTGCTTAAACCACCTTTCATGACGTAAGTAATCAATCAACTACTGATTAACACTTCATGTTATAGACTGTACGCAGTATTGCAGGAGACTCATACATATATAACAGACCCAAACATACATGTGGGGGGTGTATGTGTGTGTGTTTGTGTGTGTGTGTGTGTATATGTATGCAATCCAAGAGTGCTGTAATTATAGTTGGAAGCACAGACAAGGAAGTGCACAGAGTACCAAGGAGTTACAAAAAATAAAAATCTAAGCAGGATTTAACCTAAATTTTCCTTAAAGAGACTCTATTATAACATAAATCATAATCTTTAAATCTATATCTTTCAAAAAGTTCCATTTAGCTTGTGAATTGTTCTGCCTACTTCAGACCCATCACTTCATACATGCAGAAGATAAGAGCTCTTACGAAAACATTAATCTGTATATACCTCTTCCTTGGCATGGATAGGGTTGTTTAATTAAAATTTATATGTATTTAGTTAAATACAAAGACCAGCATCTGCTCAAATTAACTGATTTTTTCTGAAAAGTTAAAAATAAAATTTTAGAAAAAAAAAAAGAAATGTGAGTGATTTGTTGTTACCAGTTATGTTTCAACTTAAAACTCTTAACACAACTTGAAAATACTTAGCTTACAGAAGGTATACTGATGTCAGAAGTGACATACTTATTCAGATGACAAAGTCCAAATTTAAAAATCTTATCATGTTTTTAAATGGCTGACAAAATCCACCACCAAATCTAAGTAGTGCTTAAACTTGATTACTCTTTGTATTTGAGCCAAAGGAACAAATCTGAATGTTAACCTGGGAAAAATGATAGTGTAGATACCAATAATACAATTCTTAAATAAAAGCTCTGATTTTTATTTAAAAACCACCCTTCTAACTTCATAATATCCCCTTGAAAAAAGATGGGGATTTTAATCACTTAGGATTTTTAAAAAAATAGGATTTAAAGCAAGATTAACTGTTGCTTTAAGTCTTGACATTTCCCTATTAATAACCCTAAAGATTAATGAGGCACAACAGTTAAGAATTAAAATTTTTTTTAATGAAAAAGAAAATTAAGGACAGTTTGGTGCCATATACTATCATAAAAATAATCTGCTCCAGAAAGACTTTAGTCTCTACATGTAAAAAGCAATATTTAAAAAGGATATCCTCGTAAAATCTCAGTGTGAACTTTTAGAAGGTTAGGGCAGACTTTGATGAAGGTATAAAAGTCAGAAAGTACCTAAGCCTTAATAGTCTTTTAAAAACAAGTGAGGATATACAAAATATTGTTATTCAAATTACATCTAGCATGTTTGTAACTTACCACCTATTAGTAATGACTACATGCCTCAAGTTAAGAAAAGCACAGAAATATACATAACTGTGTCTAGTAAGTAAAACAAACTGTGAACACCAAGTTAATTCTTCTTTTCACAAGAACTTATGTTTCAAAGGCACATGAAAATGAAATAAACACTGAGAATAAACACATGCTTTACACTTAAGATGACTGCTGAATCCTTGCCACATTCTAGAAAAAAGCTGCTTCTTTTTATGTATGTTTCTTATGTTGAATACTAACCTCTTTAAAATCTGTACCTAATAGGTGAAAAACACGTAAGGTTTATGCATCTTTTTTTCCAAGGTTTTCATGCAGGGTTGAAACCAGGACCTATGTGTTAAGTCTAATAGCTCTGAATTTCTATGAACACTAAAATACTGTCCTAGATGCCCCATAACCCAAACAAACATATTTAAATTAGAACAATGGGGTTATGCAATTAAGATGTGGACTAGAAAAACACAAGTTTCTAACATATTAATTAACTAGGTCAATGGTAAAAGCAACATTGATTTTTTTTTCTTAACAATAAACCTATATAAGGATTTGAAAGTCACTTGTATTATTTAAAAGAAAAGCTGTTCATAACTTTGTGATAGAATATTTTATCCTTTTATCAGGTAAGCTGAATGCTCAAGTTCAGATTTTTTAATGTAAAAATGCTAGTATCTTAAAATGAGAAAGACTAATGTAAATCTTGATGTTGAACATAATATGCCAAATTGACTAGAATTATGTAAATCTAAGTAACTGAATAACCTAGTAAAGAATTTCTCAAAGTAAAATACGGAACACAGACAGTTCAGGTAATAATTAAAGGCAGAGTCCTTTGAAAATTCAATTACATTTAGTTCATATAAAAAAAGGATGCTCTGTATCTGCACTAATAACCTACACATTCTCTTTTCTAAAACTATGGGCTGCTTAGTTTGGGGGGAAAAAAAAAGGCCCTAGACTGAATAGCAGCTGACTGCATAGCGGCCACTTTCACCTTGCAGATAGAGCTTTGTTGTTCTGGCGTGTAAAGCAGACCATTAGCACAAAGTCATTTCTAATCTCAGTTGTACAATCCACATGGTGCACTTAACCCTAAAACTCACGTTGCATAGACTGCTCTGCTTCCACTCCTAATGACCTTTCAAATCACTCAATGTTACTGCTAGACTTGTACTCATGAATTAGAGGACTGCCAAATAACTTGATGACAAAGTTAAAATGTCTCCTTTCCTGAAGGTTTAAAGAAGTCGACAACATTGGTATAGAAGAAACAGAGAAAGAACACGCAATGGAAAAGAAAAGCACATTATTTAATGCTTATAAAGGATATTTTTAGAAATGCTTAAGAAAAAAATGACAGAAAATTCACACCTGACTTCAAGGCAGATGACTAAAACAGAAAATGAGAGTGCTCCACTTGTAACACACATAGATTTCCCACATTATTCACGACCAACAAATGTCTCTTCGTGTCCTAACTTCACTGCACAGTATTCAATTAAAATTCACTTTTAGAGGAAAAAGTTTGTGAAAACCATCTGCTGCTGGATTCACACTCTGAGGATTTACTGTCTGTGAATAAGACGACCCAATGCTGTCCAAAAATTAATGCTTTTAAAGACTTTTTAAAAAATGTGTATCTACGTCGTTTAAAAAAAAAAGCCTAATGTACACAGGAGTCTTAAGTTTGTCTTGCCTTCCTCTTAACTTCAAACACTTTAGAAGCAGGACTTTGCTTAATTCTTCTTCCTGCAGCCTAACCTCTTTAATAAACCCCATTTTTAAAGAAGAAACAATAAATGAAGTGACAGGAGGTTAAAGAATGAGGAGTGTGCGTTGGGAGAATAAAAGGCGGTTTTATAACAGGAGGTACTTTTGTTAGCAAGTGACTGGCAGGTCTCCTCCCCCAAGTTAGAAGGAATTCCATCCAAAACTGCAAAGGCCAAAAATGTCTAGTCTAATAGTTCTGAAATCCCCGAGTCAGGAGAGAGCTGAGTGGGGGATGGCGAGTGGGGGAAGGGGAGAAAACCGGTAGGAGACTAAAGAACAAAAGGAGAAATCTAAGAAAGGGGAAAGGAACGCCGGGACCCTGGCGGCCTGGGTGGCAGGGATGGGGAGAACCAGAAAGTGAGAGAGCACGACCCCGAGAGGAGAGCGTGGAGCCGGGCAGGGCCAGGCTTGCCGCACCATAGCGCACCATGGACAGGGCTCCGAGTGGGGCGGCTCACACCAGTCCAGGGGGTTGCGGGAGAAAACTGGAGGGACTGCGGGCGCCAGCCCCGTCTCACCCCTGCCGCACTCCCTCAACCCGCCCCGCCGGCCGGAGCGCGCCAGACCCTGACCCCTTAAGACTACGGAGCCGGGCGATATACACCACCCATCCCCACCCCCGGAGCAGAATATTGTGAGGGCAAGAGAAGAAGAAAAGGAGGCACTTCCGAGCTGCGTCCGCACTTTTCGGGGCTGCCAGCTGGCAGTAAAGCAACCCTCCCCTGACTCTAGGGCGATTTGTAGGGGGGCCCCTCCACGGATTTTCCTGCCCAGATGCGAGGGTGAGCACGCCCCTTTCCCGCAGCCTCCGAGGGACCCGAGGGCAGGCGGAGACCGACTCGGGACCAGGGCACAGCACCCGCCCAGCTAGAGGGTCCCGGCCCTGGCTGTGCGAAGTGGCCTCCGGGCCCCGGCTGGCTGGTCGGGAGGGGCCTGGGGGCACCCTGGGGCTGGAGGCGGTGGAAAGTTGGGCTGCGCGGGGCTGGGAACCCGCAGCGCGCAGCGGCGGGGGAACCTGCCCCGGGACTGGAGCAGGTGCTTCCTGCCGAGGAGGAGCCTCTTAGTAGAGATTAAATGAAAAGGCTCGCTGGCGCTCTCCTGAGGGTGTGAAAAGTACGGAAAGCTCCAAGCGAAGGCGCCCCCGGGGCGCCGGCAGGGCAAAGGCAGCCGGATAGACGGAGAAGAGCAGCCGCGTAACGGAACTTCTCGCCCGGGGGATACTGGGCGTGAGAGGCCAGACTGGGTTTGGAGGCAGACGCGGGCCGACAGACTCCTCGGGGCAAGGCGGCCAGGTTTTCTTTCCAGGTAGGGGGGACGGACACAGAATATTGTGAGGGCAGGAGAAGAAAAGGAGGCAACTCTGGACTGGGATAAAGACAATAGGAGAGTGGAGCCCTAAGGCACCGGGAAGCGCACGGGTGCCGGGGTGGGGTAAGGTGCAGGCAAGTATCGTAACTAAGACACCAGAGTGAGAATCCTACTGTAAACTCGCGACCCATCCCTGCAAGGAAAAAAAAAATTGAGCAAAGTACCATACGAAGGGCGTGAGGCACAAAAAACTGCAAAACCTGGGAGTTATCCTGCCTCAGCATTCTGCTGTCTGGGGACACCCCCCGCAAGCTTGCTCCGCCCCGGAGGAGCAGAGGGGGCCCACAAACGGCCTCCTAGAGCCCCGCCAGGAGAGGCGCGAGAGACCCGCTGGCCCGGCAGCCCTGCCCCGGCGCCCGGCCCGAGCCTGATGCCTGCGCAGCTCCCGGCCCCGCGGCGCGGCACCTCCCTTCCCGGGTGCGCAGCCCGGCCCCGCAGCGGCGCGGGGAACAAAGGGACCTGGCGCCGCCCGCCCCACCCCGCCCGTGGCCCGGCCCGCGGGGACCGCCGCTTACCTGAAGCAAGGCCGCCAGCAGCGGCAGCAGGGTCCGCGGCGCTCCCGCTATCCGGCACATGGAGGCGGAGAGGGGCAGAGCGAGGAGCCGGAGGCGGCGGCGGCGGCGGAGGAGGCAGCGGCAGCACCAACAGCGGCGCGGCGAAACGGCTCCAGGCAGTTTCCACCCCCTTCCCTTCCCCTCCCCTCCCCACCCCCTTCTCCGCTGCTCTCCGCTCCCCGCCAATGGAGAGCGAGCTGATGACAAATAGCGGGCCGCGGAGTCCGCGGGACTCGCACCAGGAGTAATAAAACAGACCCAGAGATCAAGGAGCTGGGGAGGGGGCGGGGGAGCGGGGCCGGCAGGCGTGTGAGTGTGAGCGCCTGTGAGCGTGTGCGGAGGCGGCCGCTGTGGCAGCGCGGGCGGCTCGGCTACGGCCCGGAGCGCAGCGGAAGCCGAGGGATGCAGCGGCGGGGACCTTGGCCGGTGGAGGATGCGGAGGTGGAAGTGGAGCGGATGGCGCTCCCCAGGAGCTCCGCCGCGCGAGGTTTCGGGCTCGCGGTTTTGCTTCCTCCGAGTCCCCGCTCCAGGGCCGCTCGGCGCGATGAAGACGCCGGGGACAGCGCCGCGGGGAGGGCGCTCCGGGCCGTAAGCGCTGCGCCCACAAAGAGCAGCTGCCCCGCTGCCCCGCGCCTCCGCTGCGTGGGGGCCGAGGGCCGCTTCTCGACTCCTCTTCTCCAGTCCCCCGGCGAGTTGTAGACTGTTCTCCGGCCTCGGCCGCAAGGGGGTGAGGCGAGGGGCCGGCGCGGCCGCTCCCGCCGCCGCTCCGTCCCGCGCAGCTGCCGCCGCAGCCGCCCTCACTGCCTGCGCACCGGCACCCGCCTGCCGGTCCTCGCCCTGCGCCGCTCACTCGGGCGCGCCGCCCTCCGTCGCCGACCGCGCACCCCGCTCGGCCTCCGCTGCGCGACCTGGGCGAGCCGCCGCCGCTCTCCCCGCGCTCGCCGCACGCGCTGCCTGGCTGTGCGGCCCGCTCCCCTCTCCTATCCCTCCCGCCGACGCCGCCGCCGCCGCCGCCCTCGCGCCCGCCCCCGCCTCCCTCCGCCGCCGAGCTTCCCCGCCCGCGTCGCGGCCAATCGGAGGCCACCAAGCTGCGGCTGTAGTCGGCCGGATCCGCGGCAGCCGCCCGCCCCCGCCCCGCTGAAGCGCCCCGTATTTTGCTGCAGCCCGCGGGGGGTCGCCGGAGGGAAGCCTGGGGTGCGCGGAGCACCGCCCCGGCAGGTGGAGGGGCTGCGGGAAATAAAATAACTTGAGCAGGAACTTGATTGGTAGCAGGTTCATCTTTGGTCCGCGGTGGGGAATCTGATGGAGATGAGGAATGGTGGTGGTGGGGGGGGTTGCTTCTTTGGGAGCCTAACGCACGTTTCTCTGTTTTGTCATTCTTTGATGATGGGTAATCTTTCTGGGCCGGGGCAGACTCTGCAAACTAAGGACACAGGCCAAGCTCATCCTAGCTATTGTTGTCGGAGGCGCTCGCGGGGAGCCACCTGCGGGCGGGGGAGGGCGGAGGCTGCTGCTCCTCTCTCGAGCTCGCACCTCCAGCTCCCACCCTTGCAGATGTACTGGAACAGCCTAAGTTTTTGTGGTGGTGTTTTGTTTTGTCCCCTCTGGGAATCTGAGTGTGCATGTTTGTTATTTTATTTGAAATCTCCCGGTTTTCTATTGCTACCCGTTAGTGGTATGGTTCACATTTGGGGCCAACAGTTTCAGGGTAGTTTTACTCCCTCCTACCAGCCCCAACAACAATTAAAAAAAAGAGAAACTAAAAGCCGGAACTCGTGAAAATAGGATTATCTAAAAGATAAAATGATTGATAAAGAATTCTCACTATGTAAAAGATTTCAGCTGGCTTCCTTTAAGGCATGAACTTGGAGGGCAACACAGTGAGAGACTTCACAAGTTTGAGTCACAAGCATTTGTGGAATGGAACGGGGAATGGGGAGCAGTTTTTGGTTTTTTGTTTTTTCTAACTCTGGTGAGGTAATAAATTTTCGAGAACCTTTTTTTTTTTTTTTTTTTTTAAGGGTTTACAGGTAAATAGAAATACCCGTTTTATCTAAGCTTTTCAACATTTAGACGCCGGTGAACTTCATTGCAGTTAATGAATATTTTCTGCCCTTATTGCTTGCTTTTCTGCTTTGGATGACAAATATTAACGTTATTTGAGTTACAAGATACCATTTAAGAATTTGATGATGAACCTTTAAAAATCAGCTACTAATTTCTTGACATAACTGATGCAGCTTTTAATAATGTACTATTGCTGGCTAGGCTTTTAAAAATTTATATTCATAGGGAGACGCTCAATTTTAATTAAAACATAATATTGTAAGTTTTCTTATGAAACAAATTTTTTTCCTGGATTTTCTTTCTTCTCAAAAGAATAAGAAAGGTTATGTTAATTAAATTTAAAAGGTGAAATGAAAGACTTAGCTAATACAGTAATCAGAAGTGCTTGTTCTTTTCCTTTCTCCTTTTTTTGCTAGATATTATTTTCACACTAGTGCTAATCAGCCTAAAAGTTATCTTTGCAATAGAGTATTTATAAATTATGCATCCCGGGAGTCATGCATAAGAATAGTAAAAATTCAGTCGAGATATGGGGATATGTTTGTTATTTTCCAAAGTGAGATTTATAGATCTCATCTCCATGGCTAAGATTTAAGCTTCAACACTGGACATGGGGTTTTGATCGCATCCTCATCAACTCCTAGCAGTAGCCGTTAATGTTTATTGCCATTCTGATTAATTTAAAGATAGAACAAATTTCAGCATGAATAACTCTATTGCTTGATAGTAGTAGTTACTTGAAGGTTTAAACATCATGTCTCTTATAAATTAAACGCTTATGATTTCAAAATCTTTGGAATGGCTGTCAGTCAAAGAATTCTGATTCCAGCAGTTTTTGATCCTAATTTAGGTAAGCACTGGCAGCATTTTTTAAAAGTTCAATTTGCATGCCTCTCACTCTTCAGTAGTTGTGTATTGTTTTAGAATCTTGCCTCATTTTAAGTTGATCACCTGATCAGCCATATCTTGCTAATAATTATAGGCTTTTGATTACAAGAAGGAATAGTCTAGTCTAAAATCATGCTGTTGGAGACTTTGCGCATCCATTTGATGTTAATGAAAGTAGATCTAGTGTTGACTATGATATCCAAACACAGCTTTTCCTCTATAATACCGTATCTGAGATTAGCTAACGGGGCCATTCATTTTTCTGGGCAAATGATGACCAAACTCTCAGATTTTTAGCCCCTGCTCGAAGCATTACTTAAGACCGGTTTTCCATCAGCCTATAGAACTCCAGGGATGCAGGGAATTGTCAGTGACCCAGAGAAACAACCCCAGGTGGTATTAGGGGTTGGATAAATGGAGACAAGAAAAAATATATAATAATATGAAACATGACTGAATTCACACACCAAAAATCAATCTAATCCTTCATTTCTGACCTGTGGAGTGATGCCTATTTACAACAAGAGGTCTGCAAAGCATTATGGAAAGACTGATTAACTGATGTGCCCTGAACGCTTGGCCAGTTTTTATATGTATGTAGAGGTCACGATGATTCATTTCTAAGCATTCATTTTTATAGGTATGTAGAGGTCATGATGATTTGTTTCTAAGCATTTCAAAAATCGTAATAAATTTTGTTCTGGTGCGTTTTGTCAGACAGGATACGCTACATGTACAAATTCACCATGTGCATGTTTGTGCACAAAGGTTCTTGTCTTGGACACAAATGCTGAACAGCAGGAGTCTAATCTGGAGCCTCCTCTCTCCCACCTCCCCTTCCCCACCCGCTATAGACACCCACCTCAAACACAGGCTCCACGCTTGTCTTTTTCTCTGACACCTAGCACAGTGTCCTTCCCAAAAGTTGAATGAAGACCCCCTTCTCCACTCTACCCAAGGCCATGAGCTGGCAAGTAGGGAACGCAGAATGGGACCCACACTCTCTTACGCCCACTCTTACCTTCGCCCTTTATCTTATTCTGGGAAGTTCCTTTAACACTGGAAAATTCAACTATGTGGGATGAGAGAGAGATTTTCCTTTCTAAAGAAGAAAGTATAATGATGCTAGGGATTTGTCTACTATTTTCTTCAAGTTTTTGTTCTTCAAAGTATGTGTGAAATTGAGAACATAACTCTACTTTTCTTTCCGCTGTTCTCAGTTTTCATATGCTTTTCGTAGTGTGATCATCTTGTCTTATTTATTGTGATTTTGGCATTTAAAGATCCCGTATCTTTGATACAACCTGGCTGCTAAACGCAAGCCAGTCGTTCATCTGGTGCTCAGAGAAGTAGTGATCTGATCCAATATTAGAAGAAAAACCTGGCTATTAAAAAACAAACAAAAAATCTACTCTTGTTTGAAGGTATTATTTACCTATTGTTTTTCAGTATTTGAAAATCAAAATCAACATCTTTATGGAAAATAGAATCAAAGAAGTAACTTGAAGAACATATGGTCACATAAGTGAGATACAGATTTGCCAGATAAGCAACTCAACAGAGGGGAGTAAATCATAAACAGGCCCTGAATTACAAGGAACCACACACACACACATACCCCTTTCTGGTTCTGGAAGGAGGGGTAGAGTATAATAAACAGATATGGCTGTAAATTCAAGTAGACCTAGCTCTGTGACCTTGACTAAATTTCTTAACATTTCTAAGTCTCTTTTATCTTATCTTGAAAATGTGGATAATGACAGCATTTCTTTAAAATGTCAGATAGGAACACAATATAGCATGATAGGGCCTTAGCATTTTATCTACAGTGTATTAAGTATGCTGATTTCCACAGAGGATTCAGAGCTCAGTTACTTAAGAATCTCAGTGAACTGCCAGGTGCAGTGGCTCCTGTCTGTAATCCCAGCACTTTGGGAGGCCAAGGCGGGCAGATCACGAGGTCAAGAGATCCAAACCATCCTAGCCAACATGGTGAAAACCTGTTTCTACTAAAATTACAAAAATTAGCCAGGCATAGTGGCACATGCGTGTACTCCCAGCTACTTGGGAGGCAGAGAACTGCTTGAACCTGGGAGGCAGAGATTGCAGTGAGCCAAGATCATGCCACTGCACTCCAGCCTGGAAGACAGAGCGAGACTGTCTCAAAAAAAAAAAAAAAAAGAATAAAAAGAATCTCAGTGAACACTCCTTCACCTCTCCCAGTTGCTGTCTGCAATTTTAAAAAATGCTTTTAGGCCAGTCATGGTGGCTCATGTCTGTAATCCCAGCACTTTGGGAGGCTGAGGTGGGCAGCTCACTTGAGGTCAGTTCGAGACCAGCCTGGCTAACATGGTGAAACCCCATCTTTAAAAAAAAAGAAAAATGCAGCCGGGCGCAGTGGCTCAAGCCTGTAATCCCAGCACTTTGGGAGGCCGAGACGGGTGGATCACGAGGTCAAGAGATCGAGACCATCCTGGGCAACATGGTGAAACCCCATCTCTACTAAAAATACAAAAAATTAGCTGGATGTGGTGGCGCGTGCCTGTAATCCCAGCTACTCAGGAGGCTGAGGCAGGAGAATTGCCTGAACCCAGGAGGCGGAGGTTGTGGTGAGCCGAGATCGCGCCATTGCACTCCAGCCTGGGTAACAAGAGTGAAACTCCGTCTCAAAAAAAAAAAAATGCTTTTAATCAAAATTTTATTTAGGAGTTTCAAATTTTGTGAAACAACACAAAACCTCTAATATAAAAAGTAATGGCTGAGTAAATAATCTTCAGACTGGTAAAAGAAATAAAAATTTGGTGGCTTTGTAATGTCCAGAAAAACAAGTCTGGACATGTGAAAGTATTCACAGGAACCAATGTAATCAGTATTAATTTATTGATTGGTATAGGAGAATGAATTCATATTGAATTCATATTTGAATTATCTCACAAATTGCTAATACCAAGACCAGGGCTAAACTACATTTTGCTTAGGACCTTTCTTTTGCTAACCTGGCTTTTATTGTTTCTTAAACTGCTTTCTGCCTGTATGCTTCCAGAGTCGGGTTTGCATAGTTGATTTCATGAGTCTTTTTTAAACATCAGCTATATTTGAGAAAATATGATTTTCTTGATATCCAAGAAATCTACCTTCTGCACCAGAAGCCTGGATATTTACAGGGTGATACCAGCACTTTAGATCACTTAAAAGACAGAAAGCCTATTTCGCAAGATAAACAAATCTTGAGAAAATAAAACAAATCATGCTGGAGACTTTGGTAACTCTTAGTGGTGCCAAACTTTTGCCCTCATGTCTTTTTAAAAGCAAAGATCTGTCTT